CAGAGGTGCAGAGACAAAGGATGACCTTGGCTTTCCAGAAAGAATTTTGTTATGGCTGCATAGTATGCAACTCCATACAACCCCCCCTCCCATTTTCCCACAATAGAAAATGCATAGCAGAATAATAGAAACTGTGGCAGGCAAAAGAGTCAAAAGAAAAAATGGCTGCAGGCCTGACAGGTACTTTCTATCGTGGACAGATAGAAAGAAGTCATCAGCTGTTGTTCCATCTGATTTTCTGCAGGATTCTAAGGAAATGAAGTCTCTGTTGAGCCTTACTAATCACTCAGGACGTGTTGTTTTTACAGGTGAGATCTTGACTAATAAGCACCCCCAAGAATTTAAAAGAGGAAACCCCCTCCACACAGCCCCCCTCGATATACAGTGGGGCAGGTTCCTCTCTACCTACTTCAGAAAGCCTCTGTTGAGTTTTCACAACTTCCTTGTGCAAAAAAAAAACATGAGGAGAAAATATATTTCTCTTTGAAGAAGCTTCTGGGTGTCCTCCTGCACTAAGGAGGCTATTTTAAAACTAAATTTCCATGGGTGCAGCTTCCTCTATCTATGAAGCCATCACACCTTCTGTGAAAGAGCAATCATTCTGATCATTATCAAGAGCGCAGCCCAATCCAGGTATTCCCACAACTACATTTCCCAGAATTCTGGATACCATCTTTGCTTGAAATTATAGTGTTTTCCCAACCTGGAGAACATCATGTTGTGGAAGACTGTCCTAAGTGATGTTTCTAGCAATGGGTCCATCTGAAGAGAGCAATCATTTGCTCAGTTAGGTGTCTGAACTGCAGAGCTCCTGACTGCAAAGAACCAAATATTTTTTTCCTCCATAAAGAAACCAAACTCAAAATGCCAAAAAAAATAAGCACTCCCAGAAATTTACCATGTTAAAGGGAAGCACTCCAGTTACAGCTTCTAATCTTCTTTGTGCAGGATGTGTTGTCTGCTACAGTTTGGCTGCGGTTCTGGTTACAGTTTGGGTACCCATATTTCCAGTACAATTTATTTCCTCAGTGAAAATTAGCCAGAACGTTAGACTAAAATAAAGGAACTGGAGCATGTTTCACTGCCTATCATTTTTTGAGATAGAAATCCCCGAAGGCAGGAGATCATTAATGTTTGGAACATATTAGGGATGGCAGGTGATTGGGAGTTCAATTTTCTCAGGGGAGATAGGCCAGTTATGTCAAATGATACAGAGTTATTTAGCTGTATATCTATGAAAGAAAAGCTGTGCTAACCCACTATGTATGCAAAAAAATGACTTTTAAAAAGGATAAAAGGGATCTACCTCCCTAATAGAGGACTACTGATTAGCATGACTTCATCCTAACATGCAAAATTCTTTTCTAGCTAGAATAGAATAGAATAGAATAGAATAGAATAGAATNTTACTACTAACAGAGATACAAAAGTGGGCGGTAGGTATAAAAAGGTTGACTATCCCTGGTGTCCATTATACAGTCCAGGCACTGCAATGTTACAAGATCAAGGTAGTTTTAAAAAATGTGCATTAACTGATGCAATCACACAGCAGTGTCTTTGTCAGCATGAAAAAAATGGGGACACTTAGAATGAACTTACAGAACTAATGCCAATTCTTATCCTTTAAAAAAAATCATTCATGCTATTTATTTATAGAAATGCAACTTAACAAAAAAAAATGAAATGATAACAGTTTGCTACATAGCAGCTAATTTGCTTGATGGATGATGGAACTTTCATCATTTCAAATGTCCAGTTTAGAAAAGGGGAACTTTATTTATATCCTGTCTTTATTATTTTTATAAATAACACAAGACAGTGAACATACCCTAACTCCTCCCTCCTCCTATTTGAACTCTTCTAAATGTTAACTAGAGCTTTGAATATGTCAACCAACTTTCATGTCAAAGGATTCTTGTCTAAAAAAAAAATCTAATCTAATTGCAAGATTGTGAAGGCAGGTGGAGTTTGACAGCATGGCAAAGGACAAATGATTATTATACAGCAATCACTCGTACCTGAATCCAAGTAATGGTATATCTCCTTATAAGGTGCTATGTGGACTGTAAAATTCTCAGGAATATAAGGCACTCGCCCTTGAATTTCAGTCCTAACACTGAGGTAATTTTCTGCATCCAGACCATCGGCTGTTTGCTGGATGAAAACTCTTTCTTCTCCTGGATAGAACGTAGCTTCCAGATTATGAGTGAATTTAGCCCCTGGGGAAGAGCGTTAAGGGAGAAAAACAATAAACACAATAAGCCCATCATGAGCAGACAATTTTATGACCCTGAAATACAGCATCAGCTAAAGTACAGCAGGGCTGGAGCCAGAAGAATGTGCTTCTAGTCTTTATAAGAATGACTGGAAGAAAATACTTCACAGTTCATTCCATCTTCCTATAATGAGCTGATATGAATAAGGAAGAAAACTAGGGAAATGTGTATAAACATAGATAGAGGAAGTCCTCCATTTATGACCAAAATTGAGCCCAAACTTACGTTGCCCTATTTTACCTTTCTTGCCGCAGTTGTTAAGTGAATAACATGCAGCTGTTAATTTAGTAACACAGTTATTAAGTGAATCTGGCTTCCCTATTAACTTTGCTCATCAGAAGGTTGCAAAAGGTGATCACCAGTCTCTGGGACAGGGCCACTATCACAAATATGAGCCAGTTGCCAAGCGTCCGGATTTGATCGTGTGACCATAGGGATGCTGCAACAGTGGTAAGTGTGAACGACAGTCATAAGTAGCTTTTTCCCTGCAATTGTAGCTTCGAACAGTCACTAAACATATGGTTGTAAGTCAAGGATTACTTAGAGTTAGAGTTTAGTTTATTGATTAGCTCATAGGCCAGTGGTGGCTAACCATTTTGGTATGGAGTGCCAAAGCAGGAGCCCTGAAGCCCGGAAGAGAGCAGCTGGCCAGTGCACATGTGCACCGTCACTAGCTGCACTTCTAGGTTCCGTCGCACGCATGTATGAAGACCAGCTGCCTGGTGCACATGTGCATGACGGAACCCAGGCGAGCATGGTTGGCCGTGCGCAAATGTGCACCAGATCAGCTGGCCAGCATGCATGCATGTGGTAGAATCCGGAATTGCAGCTGGCGATGGCACGCGTGCCCACAGAGAGGGCTCTGCGTGTCACCACTGGCACGTGTGCCATAGGTTCGCCATCACAGCCATGGGCCATATCAAAGTGCAGAGTTCCAAACACAAATTATTATTAAAATCTGACAAAAACAATTTAAAATGAGATTGGAATAAAATACGAGAACTACCTGTACATTTAAGGCTTTCCTTGGGCACAAATTTGTTTGCATGGAAACCATATTCACACAGATGGGATTAGCCCGCCCCAATTGTGTCAGCAGGAGAGGCATGCTGTGGATTCATTCAGCTGAGGAATTTCAGCTAGAGTCCAGAAGAAGATTCTTTTCTGCCATAGCTCCCACCCTCTGGAACATCTTGCCCTCCCAGGTCAGATCTGCTCCCACCCTTCTGGCTTTCCGAAAGGCCTTGAAGAAATGTCTATGCCAAATTAGCCCAGGACCCTAATGCATGTTGGAGGTCTCTAAGGGAGTGGAGAACATTCTTCTCCGTGCACACTTTGCATCCTCCCATTCCACCCTGCTTAGTTTATTTTAATTGAATGTTTAAATTTAAGATCTTTATTTATTTTTTAAATTTGTATTCTGCATTTTATCCAATGTCTGTAAACCACCTAGAGTCGCCCCTAGCAAAGTGGGCAACTTATAAAATAGATAGATAGAGAGATAGATAGATAGAGAGAGAGAGAGAGAGAGAGAGAGAGAGAGAGAGAGAGAGAGAGAGAGAGAGAGA